GCAGCCTGCCATGGGGCTCCATCTCATGACCCTGAGATCACAACCTGAGCTGAAGTCAGGAGCCCCAGGAGGGTTTTTCTGTAGACGTGGGGTCTTCTGAAGAAGGAAGAAGGCTTCCGTTCTTTCATTCCCTCCGCAATGGACTGGTGCCCTGGTGGGTGCTGGGTGGTGCAGCCTGGGGCGTGCACAGTCACCCCCGTCCGAGCCGCCATGGAGAAGGGCAGTGGGCACGTGGGGCAGGGAGGTAGGCAGGTCGGCGAGAGCCGCAGGGGAGCTCCAGGGGTGCTCACCTCGCCCGTTCCGGTCTGCCATCCTCCACGAGTCGCCCGTGGTCCCACCCTGTCCCATGGGAGTGAATGGCCGAAGGGATTTAACTAATTGGGGCCTGAGGAGCAGAGAGGAAACCGGATGTGCTGAAAGACTTTCATTACTGCCTAATTGACGGGCTCCTCGCCCGCCTGAGCGTCCCAAGCCCTGGGCCTGACCTGGAATGCGGGGCTGACGACTCGGGAACCGGGGGCGGCCCCCCGGCTCTGTCTCCCAGCCACTCCTTCTCATGCCTGGGCGGCACCTGATTCTTGGAATCTGGCCTGTTTATCTCGGCCTCGCCACCCAGGCCCCTTGCCCCTGGGGCTACACCAGGCTCTGGGTGGTTCATGTCGGGGAGTTACTTTGCTGTGAGGAGGGGTACCAGGATGGCTGTAGGTCTGCAGCCTAGGCTCCAGAGTCGGCCCATCCGGTTCCAGCACTGATGTGACAGGGCGGAGTGGGTAATCTTGCCAGGCCTCGTTTCTCACCTACAAGACAGGAAAGGTAACAGGACCCACCTCACAGACTTGTTGAAATACCCCGTGTTAAGTAAGTGTTTACAACAGACCCTCAACAGTAGCACACCCTCGGTATGAATTATCTAACGTTCCCTTGGTCCGTCTGCAGCCTTGCGCTCCTGACGTGCGCGTGGGGAGGCTCCGGTCCCCTCCCCCGACGTGTCCTCATCCCTCTCCTGTTGCAGATGCTGACCTGACCTTTGAGCAGACGGGTTGGGGGGACAGTGGCGTGTATTACTGCTCCGTGGTCTCGGCCCAGGACCTCCAGGGGAACAACGAGGCCTATGCAGAGCTCATCGTCCTGGGTGAGTGGGTTGGGCCCCGAGGGCCTGGGAAGGGGTCGGGAACCGGGATCAGGGCCTCTTCTTCAGTTGCTTCTGTATGTCTGCCCTCTGCCCTTCAGCTCACTCTCCGGACTCTGTCGCTGCTTCATTCTCTTCTCATGGCGCTGCCAGTCACTGGGGCTTCTCTCTGCCCTGCACCCCAGGCAGGGGCCCCTCCCCCCAACATTTCAAATAAGCCAGAGCCAAACTGGAGAGTGGAGAGAACTGGGGACTCTACCTCTTCCCGGTCTCCTTTTTTTTTAAATCCCCAAACTTTCAGAGTTAATTGGCAGGGAGTGAGGAGCGAAGATGGTGTGTCTCACTGGGGGGAGACCGGACCCAGCTCTTGCCACCGTCCGCAGGGCCGCCGCTCACCCCGCGACCCTGGCCAAAGCTCAGGAACCTCACCCTCCGCCCTGTAGGGAGGGCGCTGTGTGGTTGACGCAGTGAGGCCGCCGCCCCATGCTCAAGGCCAGGGTAGGGTCATCCATCGGCAGCCCCCGTCTGGCCGCGAGGCCCCCCTGCCATGTGGGGAAGGGACGCTGCCATTAGCCGCATGCCCTGTTCTTAGCCAGCACATTCGGGCTCAGGAGGCGCTGCCGGGCTGAACGTTGCCATCATCACCCGCATGATGCAAGGAAACGCATGTGTGAATGAGCACACATGACGGGGGCGTGCCCCAGGGTGTTCCGATCACGACAGAGTTCGCGTGTGGGTGACAGAACGCACGCAGCAGGGACCCGGAGAACTCCGGGTGTCTGTGGGCCAAACGCACAGCCTGCATCAGCATTTCTCAAAACGCAGCGTCAGGACCTGCTTAGCACTGTAAAAAAAAAACCCTAGAGGATCTCAAAGAGTTTGTGTGTAAGTTTTTGTGGATGATGATAGTTGTTTAACGTGACAGATTGAGAGCAGGAAATTTTTAAAGCGCAAGGCACGTGAGCACGCCATCCACTGTCACCAGGGCGATGAGGCCACCACTCCTCACGGAGCCTCTGGGACACCTGTGGGAGAACACCTGCCCGCGAAAAAGGCAGACGAGACTTGGTGCTATTCCGAAAGCGGTCTTGGCCTCATGGGCAGGACCACGCTTTGGGAGCCCCTGCTTTGCGTGCTAGAACCTACTCGTGGGGGCAGGTGGCGCAGAGCTTTGCAGACTTAGAGCCGGGTGTGTGGGTGCCCCCGCGATCCGACACTCGTGGGGCACAGAGAACCGGCGGCACTTAAGGGGAGTGGGCCTCGGGGTTTGTACAGGGGACAGAATGCGTGCAATGAGCTGGAACTCAGGGCCGTTCTGTGATTTTTATGGGCTGTGGGCACTTCTGCCTTCATGGGCCTCTTCCTTCGTATTAAAAAATAAGACGTTTTGTGATTGCCTTGCTGTAAAGACGATTCATTATTCTAGATTGGGTGTTACTATTTTTTTTCTTCAGATTTTAAAATAAAATGAAAACATCTAGGGCACTGTGTCTACCTTGCCTGATGGAACAGGACTATCCGTCTCGCCAGGAGATGGAACCCTTGGGGGTGATAGGACCCGTGTATGTGGAGCAGATGGGGGACCCACACTTGAGGCTGAACCTTCAGAACCCACAGGACGTGTTCTGGAACACCTTGGGGCAACAGAATTCCCCATGGCATGAGAGAGTGGGTGAATTATGGGGTGGAAGCCTTCTGGAAAACACTCACATGGTCTGGGGTGGGGGGTTGCAGGAGCCATGTGCTAGGACCCTCGTAGACCACCAACCCCTCTGCTGCAGGACATACCTTCACCCTGAAGAGCCTAGAGCGTGCTTCAGGGTAGGGGCGGGCTGGGCTGGCCCCTGCCAGCGTAATCTGTCTCTCTTTTGTCCCTCCAGGCAGGACCTCGGGGGTGGCAGAGCTCTTACCTGGTTTTCAGGCGGGGCCCATGGAAGGTACGGGGTGGACCCCCACTAACCCCACCTGACTCCAACTCCGTGGTGTCTAGTGACCTGGCTCTGGGGTGGGCCGGGCTGGCTGAGGAGGGGCCTGGGGTGTAGGCAGGGGGCTCTTGTTGACTGGTGCCTGCAGGGATCTTCTAGAGGGTGGCATCCGGGCAGCTGGCTCTCTGTCCCTCCTCTGCAGCTACGTCCTGTTCTTGCTCCGGCCAGGTCACCTCTGGTTATCTGCTTTGCCAGAGGAGCCCACTGCAAGTTCCCTGAATTCGGGGCTGGCCCTGGGTGGTAGAGGGTGAGCGCCCCTCTGCTGCTGAGGCCCCTGCATGTGGCTGGGGAATCCAGCAGGGGTCGCAGCTTCCCCAGGAAGCTTCACGAATAGCCTCGCCTTCCCCCTGACTCTGCATCGCCCCCACTGTGCCTGTGTCCCTGTGTCCCCGTGTCCCCCCCAGGCCTCCTGCTCACGACCTGTTCTCCTCTCTCTCTGCAGACTGGCTGTTTGTGGTCATGGTCTGCTTGGCTGCCTTCCTCGTCTTCCTCCTCCTGGGCATCTGCTGGTGTCAGTGCTGTCCCCACACCTGCTGCTGTTATGTCCGGTGCCCCTGCTGCCCGGACAGGTGCTGTTGCCCGGAGGCGCGTAAGTGCCCCTCACGTGCCCACCCCTGCACGCCTCCCTCCTGGCTTGCAGGGTGGGAGGCGGCCGTCCGCTGGCTTCCCAGGACAGTGCTGTGGCCTGGAGGGCGGGAGGTGAGCAGTCTGGGAGAAGGTGGGCCAAGGAGGCTCTGCTGTTTGAGATGACCGTTTACATACACTTCCAACTTTGCATTCATTTTAAACTTTCACTTAGAGTTGTTTTGAAAGCATCATTTATGCGCATGGTAAAAAAAAACTGTCAGTACAAAACACCATTCACTGGGAAGTACAGCTTCCTTTTTTTTTTTTTTTTCAAAGATTTTATTTATTTGAGAGCAAGAGAACGAAAGAGAACGAAAGAGAACGGGGGGGCGGGGTGGGATGGGCAGAGGGAGAGGGAGCAGTGGACTCCCTGCTGAGCAGGAACCCTGAGGCCAGGGGGACTGCAACCCAGGACCCTGAGATCATGACCTGAGCCGAAGGCAGGTGCTTAACCAACTGAGCCACCCAGGAGCCCCAGTAAAGCTCCCTTTAAAAATAAAATCTTAAATGAAAAAGGTAAGAAACCAAACAAGGTTTACAGCACTAATATAATTTACACAATTAAAAAAACCCACATCCACACAAGCACACTGGGTTTTACGCAGATACTATGTTTAAGGACATCTAGCACATCCCGAGTAGGTACCTGGGGGGCTGGGGGATGGGAGTGGGGCCAGAGATGAAGGGGGAAAGAGCAAACAAAACAGGGAAGGGGGAAGCAAAGGAGAAGGCGGGGTCTCCCTCTTGCCACCACCCCATTTCCCCTCCTCAGGGGTGGCATTGTTGCCAGTTCCTTCCAGAGTGCCCGGGGATGGCTGCAGCTCTGCTCAGTCCAAGAGGCTTTCACAGTGAAATCACGGGCAGTCGTTGGCTTAGGCAGGTGGAGGTTGGAGGCCTGGCTGGATGTGTTACCTGCTCGGAAGCCTAAGGAGTGACTTCCCCTTGTGTGGCCGGCACTTAGTGCAGGGCTCAGCCTACATAAAATGCTCCTCGCCCACTAGCTGCTGGCCATGTTGCTGTCAACACTGGTCATGACCGGGGGGCCGGGAAGCACACTGGAGCCTTGCCAGGGCCACTGTGTGACCTCGGACAAGCAGTGCTCACTCTCTGAGCCGGTTTCCTTCTTTATAAGGTTCCCACGAGGTGTTGCGAGCATTAAGGGAAGACTGGGTGAAGCACCCAGCACAGGGCCACTGCTCAGTCCTTACTGGCTGATTTTCCTGATCCTTGAACTCACCAGTGGACAACCTGGACCCTCAAAGTATTGCTGCCCTGAGACAAATCCACTGCTCTCTGGGGGCTGATGCTGGCCATCCTGTGTCTCTTGTCCTTTCTAGTTGAGGGCCTCAGCCTCAGGCAGTGGGTGTTAGTCCCAATCACAGGTGCGGGGGACCCCCCCCAGGGGGCTGCAACCAAGTTTGCAGTTATTACCCCAATGATTAAGGCTGGGGCCAGGAAGGCCAGTGTCTGTCCCAAGGCCATGCTCCACCCGTCCCGAGACGCTGATACCTCAAGCAGAGGACCCATTAACTCACTGCCGTGGGCTGCCAGCGTGCACCCTGTTACTCTTGCCAGGGCCACAACCCCGCCGAGGCGGCTGGAAACAGCAACTCGCACAGCGAGTTATAAAATGCCCACTCCCCCAAGCTACTGAGGGGCCTCTCCTGGGGCCGCTGAGCGCTGAGCCTCCTTCTAAACTGAAGCAGCGCAGGGAGCTTGCTGAGCCTCCCATTTCCCTGTCCCAATCCCAGGGAGGAAGCAACTTGCTCAGTCAGGCCAAGTGATTTCAAGCAAGCCACCTGAACCCTGCCTCTTGCTTGGGGAGGAAGGCAGCAGGGAGGATTTGCCCTTGAGCTGTCAAGCCTAGCACCAGGCGGGGGCTGGCTGGGGGTGGGTGTGGCCCTGGGGTTGGAAACACTAGAGGTACTTTGAGGAGTTACTTGGCTGCTTGGCCGAGGCAAGTGAACGCTGAGGCTCCCACACATTTGCCTCAGAACGATTCCCATTGCATCTGGGCCTGGAGAACCCAGCAGCCATGAGAGGGGAGTGGGCATGGGATTCCTCCCCCCGCCCCCCATGGTGGCTCAGCTGCCAAAGGGGAACTTTGAATCCCGCTAGAGGGTCTAGCACATGGGCCTTATCTAAAGGGGCATCTGCCCCCTGCTGCTCTGTAAGAACTCAGGCCCAGGCGGCTAGAGAGCTGGGATTTTCAGTAAAACCCCATCAAATGTGGGCAAACCATCATATAGTCAAACAAACGCATTGGCTAGCCAGATGAGGGCCGTGGGCTGCCAGTGTGCACCCCCTCCCCAAAAACCTGTGTGAGGAAACCCAAAGGAGCTGTGGATTCAATGAAGCTGATGGCCCGAGTCTCAGGAACCCTGCAGAAACCAATCCAAGCGCCTAGGAAAGCCCCACAGCTCGGGGGTTGGGAAGAAGGTCCAGGCACATGTCCCTGCAGACCCTCCAACCCTGGAGGGCAGCATGGCTCCTGGCTGCCTTCTCATACCGTGTGTCCTCCCCAGTGTATGCCGCAGGCAAAGCGGCCACCTCAGGCGTCCCAAGCATCTACGCCCCCAGCACCTATGCTCACCTGTCCCCTGCCAAGACCCCGCCCCCACCAGCCATGATTCCCATGGGCCCCATCTACAATGGGTACCCTGGAGACTTCGACAGGAATAGCTCAGGTGAGGCCTGGGGGATCTGGGAGCAGCTGGGGCAGGGGTAGGCTGGGCATTTGGGCACTGAGGGGTCTGGGGCTGGAAGAAAGGGGACTGGAGGCTGGGCCTGGAGGGCTTTGTTCCAGGTGGGCGGCCACTGACAGTCGAATCTCCCTCAGTTGGCGGCCACAGCTCCCAGGTACCCCTGCTTCGTGACACAGACAGCAGTGTGACCTCTGGTGAGAACCAATTGTTACAAGGTTGGACATGTCTTTACGGGAGGGGGTGGGGTCAGCGTCTGTTCTCCTAAACTGATGGCCTCCATTTCCTGTCCTTAGAAGTCCGCAGTGGCTACAGGATCCAGGCCAGCCAGCAGGATGACTCCATGCGGGTCCTATACTACATGGAGAAAGAGCTGGCCAACTTTGACCCTTCTCGACCTGGTGCCCCCAATGGCCGTGTAGAGCGGGGTGAGTGGGATCCTTGCGGTTTGAGGAGTGCCTGAGTGGAGAGGGAGAAGCCCCAGGGATGCTTGCTGCAAATCCTGGACATAGTACTTCCCTACCATGGCCGCAGTGAGAAGTGTACAACACCCTCTGTGTCAACACTTAAAAGATGAGAAGTCTAGGGCCCCCTAGAAAGTGTATGAGCCAAGTGGGTGACTCTGCTGGGCCCTGGAGTTCCAGACCTCCCAGCAGTCAGTGACACCCCTCTTCTCTACAGCCATGAGTGAAGTTACCTCCCTCCACGAGGACGACTTGAGATCCCGGCCTTCCCGAGGTCCTGCCCTTACCCCAATCCGGGATGAGGAATGGGGTCGCCACTCCCCTCGAAGTCCCAGACGGTGGGAGCAAGAGCCCCCGGTAGAGCGGCCAGGGAGTGGCTGGGGGGCCGGGCGGCCCCGTGCCCGATCTGTGGATGCTCTGGATGACCTCACCCGGCCGAGCTCTGCTGAATCTGGGAGGAGGTCTCCCCCAAGTAGGGGGAGGAGAGGTCAAGCCTACAGACCGCCCAGAAGCCGAAGCCGAGATGACCTCTATGATCAAGATGACCCAAGGGAATTTCCACACTCCCGGGATTCTCACTACGATGATTTCAGATCTAGAGACCGCCCTCATGCTGACCCTAGGTCCCGCCACCACCGCTCCCGGGACCCTCGGGAGGATGGCTCCAGGTCTGGGGACCCCCAATATGATGGGCGGCTACTGGAAGAGGCCTTGAGGAAAAAGGGGCCAGCTGAGAGAAGGAGACCTTACAGGGAGGAAGAGGAGGAGGAGGCCTACTACCCTCCAGCGCCTCCCCCTTACTCTGAGACGGACTCCCAGGCCTCACGCGAGCGGAGGCTTAAGAAGGTGAGTGAACAATCCTTCCAGGCTTTAAGACCCTTCCTGGACCCTCTCCTCCGGTCGTCCCCAGCTCACACCCTTTTTCTTTCTTCCTTGCAGAACTTGGCCCTGAGTCGGGAAAGTTTAATCGTCTGATCTCACTTTTTCTATGTACCTTTTGTACTTTTTTTTTTTTTAATTTGAGGGACTTATTGATGATCTTGCCCTCCTAAGTCTAATAAAACTTATGATCACAAAGCCTATGTCTAGAGGGAGGTGCTTCTTTTGCTGCGCGAGGTGGGTAGCCCGGGCAGCTGCTGTGTCTGTGTGTGCGTGCCTGCGAGTCTGCAGAAGGCCGCGCGTCCAGCTTTCTCCCAGGACTCGCATCCTGGGCTAGGAGGAAAGCACCGGCTCTGCCTTCCTCCCCGGGCCAGGAGTACGTGCCCCACGCTGACTCCGCCCGGCCCTGCGTGCGCGCCCCGGCCCCGCCCAGTCGTGCGCATGCGCCCCCGACCTCCGCCGTCGCGCACCTCCGACCAGCCGCCGGGAGCGCGCGTGCGCGCTCCTCTCCCCTTCAACTCCGACCTACTTTACTGTTTCCAAACCCCGCGGCCTGCCTCGTCCCCGGCGACCAGAGCCCCTCCTCCGGGTCCCCCGGCGTTCTATCCGGGCCCGCGTTCCTCTCGGGCGGCCCGCGGGTGGGTGCCAGGCGGCCGCCGAGGCGACGACGGCG